ATACATATATATATATATATATATATATTTGCGTGGTCTTGGAAATCCTTCCCATAACTCTACTTTGACTCTAGATGCAAGAGGAGCCATAAAATAGAGGGTTGACATAAACCTTTAGCTGTCACCCCCTTTCGGTGTAAGGCTGTCAAGAAACCAGAAAGGGGCGTGGGGTACAAGACAATTCTCTTGTTAAATGAGGGGGGGGGGGAATCCGCAGAACAACCCCTCTAAAACTTTCTGAAATCATCAGTTTCTTTAATGAAAGACAGCGATGTAACAGACTTTGACTTTAGCATATTACAAATGTGGCATAGTCCGGAAACCAGCCACTAGAATCTCTAAAAATCAAGTGTCTTCATGCGGTTGTTTGCTAAATAAGTAATTTGCACTTTATCAGGTCAAGTAGGCCTAGGGTAATCATGCTGACTGATGATGGGCATTTGGACGTATTTCCACAGAACCTCTTAAGGGACAACTGCGTCTAGTAACATTTGGGTTCTTCCGATGGATGTCCCTTATTGAGGGGGTCTACCGTAGACCAATGCAATAATCTGTTTTACTGCCCAGATGCACACTCACGACTTACATTAGCCACTTGGGATGGTCCGGTCGTTCGACACACAGTACGTCTTCAGACTGATCTGTCCCGAGTAAATGGTACATCAACTTTTGGTCTTGGTTGGAAGTTGTCTCAGTCCCGTCCGCTTTGCCCAAGTGTTCACGGTACATGCAATAAAATACACCTTTTTCATCATGCGTCCATTCAATACCACTAAATTTGACGTGTTTTAGTACGTCTGGTAGTTCTTCGCCTGAATCGGTTCTCTTGAACTATGTTCAGTGGAACTTAATGAATGGCACAAAAGGACTTACCTTCAGTTCGGCCCAGTCGGAGCCACCATGACTAAGACCGTAGCACAAATAACTTCCTTCCTCTGAGAAGCTGTAACCCCTTATGGCGGCCAACCCATCGACATCAATTTCATTGGGATCGAGAAATACGGAAGCGGTCCCATCTAAGGATTCCAACTGGAACAAAACACTGAAAAAGAGCGTTGCACATTTAAAATGCATAGGAAAACCTCTGGTTTTGCAGTCCGCTGTTTCGCCAGTAGTAATAATATCGGCCGGATTTAAACGGGCAGGAGAAGCGTTCATAATCCCAAATTTCTTTCAACCTGTAACAACGAAACAGTGATGTCCCCTCCCATGCGGGCTTCACGAGTACCTATGTTTGAGCTTATCCGTGTATGGACATCTGTCGAAGTACTTCTGAGTAATCTCGTTCTGACTTTTTACAAAAGCAACCGTCTCTGCTGAATCAGGATCTTCTAACCATCTGTAAGGGTCTGAAATCTGTGAAAAGATGGTGAAGGGAAAGTCAGTAGATGGCAACCAGGAATAGTGTTAATGAAGTCGATGAAATGTTAAATATAAAGGCACTTTTAACACACATGCGCTTGATAGGGTAAATAAGAAAAAAAACAATCGTTCAGCTCTAACAAACTTTTGGTGTCAAGCTACCTGCCACCTGAAGGGAGTAGTAGGGCTGGGCTACTGTCAGGTTGCCTAACCCAGACGGGAGCAGCTGAGATGCCGCATTTGGGTTCCGGTTAGTAAGTTCGCGTCTTAAACGCTGAACCATTGCAAGCTCTGCTACAATAAGTTGCTGAAAAGCCCACCGAACTCATCCAGATAAGTTTGAATAATGTGGTTTCTTCCAGAACAGCTCAGGAATACAATATAATTTATACTTATTGGCCTCCCTGTACAAGCGTCGGGAGATCAATCAAGTGACTTTGTGGAAACAGGCTGCACTCTGTTGATTTTAAAAGCCTATGACCGTCGAATACATGTGTGGAGCTAATGGATTCGACACCCAATCGCTACTTAGAAAACAGAAGCTATACCATAGTTGGCGAGACAATATACAGTCCGAAGACGTTACCGACAAATCAGTCGAATAGGAAATAGATAATTTCACACAGATTCACAAAAATGTAGACCATCATCCATTACAATAATCGTCACTCAAAGATTTTTGTATCGAAAGTAGACGAGTTACCTAGTGTGGAGAGCAATCACATTTAAGTGTTTGGAAACACATGGTATCGACTGAGTGGTTGATGCTCAGATTTCAACTAGTAGATTGAAAAACTAAACTGTTATCCCCCCGTGATACTAACTACACCACCGTTCCTAAGGTTCATTAGTAAAGCTTGAAATCGTATCGACAGTGGAAGCCATTTTTAATAGTGCACGTAAATGAACTACAAAACGAGGAACTCATACTCAGGTGCTCAGTGTTTTTTTAAACTAATTGGCTAACTGACGGCTGAGATGCCGTCAACAGAGAAAAACTGTCTCATGATCTTACTGTTATATTCACAAAACAGTTGCTACGTGAATCGCCTAAGCTGAACGACACAATTGAAAAAGAGCACGCTCAGCTGTGCCACAGGAATTTCGACCGATAAATGCATCCAGCACCAAAGGTGGTGGTGGTCTGGCCATGTTGCCAATGCCGGATCATCGCTCATCAAAAAATGGTAGTTTCTGGGCCGAATTCAGGGTATGAGAGCAGGTACGGAAAGTCTGGATAGTCGGTGCGACTCCCCTTCTGAGACTGAGTCTACGTGATTTCTGGCTGTGCATGGTGGAGACACTATAGGACACGGCTACTAATAGACTTCGATATCGTCCTTGCTGTTGGTTTCTATTCACATTGTCTGAATGTGCCTGGAAGTGTAAGCACCTCGGGATGATCGTGGTAAGCAAGCAATAGGTCCTCTTCCCGTCCTTTTGTGTTTTCTTCACAGTAAGGAATTCAGGTAAATTATAGCTGTGCTTCAGCAAAGCATCTATTTTGAACACTGATTTTGTGCTACCGATGACGATGAGGTCTATTAGTATAATTTTGCATATGTGAAAAGGCAGCGTGTGGGGATACATTTTAATGCACTTTGTGCTCGCTATGCTCATTTCTGGGGTTAGCCTTTTCAGATCCATAGACTCAAACACTCCAACCTGTTGCATCGCTAATCTAAATAGAATACGCTCAACCGAGCCATAATTTAGCCGCTCTATGCGCTATATGATGAACCTATTACACATGGCCGCTGGTTTGTCCGATCAGCTGAGCTCAGCGAAGAAACCAACGGCCACCATTACGACCCCAGCTATCAATATTCTCCTCAACTACAAGTCCATCACACATGTTATTGAGGCCGTTCCCGTTCAGTGTTAACCCCATTTTGTCTGTTTTGTCCGCGGTTTACTCTAAATAGCCGTCAAGAACATGAACAGACAATCGGGGTTTCTTTAATCACGCACACAATGCAAGACAAAGCACAAGATGAAAACAAGATGACCATTCAGTCGTAATAACCTTTTGGTGCATAGCTGCCATGCGATACGAAGGAATTACGAGGGCTGAGGTACTGTTAGGTTGTCTAGAAAGGAGTAGTCGAGATACAGGGGTTGGGTTCGAACCACGGACCTTCCGGACAATAAATTCGCGCTATAACCACTGAGCCATCCCAAGCTCACACAATGTAACAGATACAACAACCACAATATACATCCCCGTCGGGGAGGCATTTTGGTGGCCCTCGGTTTGCTTCCATTTGGTTAGCGATTCCCGTGCTAGCACAAAACTTCCTAGGGAATTTGCTTAGGCCTTTTAGGAGCCACAGGAAAATTAAGATGCTGTGAGCGGGAGATTCAACTGAGTCCACAGTTTGCGGTATTCTTCTTACAAGTGGTGTCATATCAAGTCGAATAAACGCTGACCATATTGTGCCAACCTGGAACCTGGTGCTAACCGCCTCATCGAAAATAACAGCGCCATTCTGAGGTGCTACATCTCTAACACTCAGTGAGACAATCTAAACAGAAACTGACAGCATGGACGCCACTGAGAGGGTTAGCCGTCATAAAGTTCGGTGTCTCCAGCCAAGCATAAGGAGGGTCAAATGAACCCCATTTTGGAAGGCAAACAGTACCAAAGCATTCAAACTTTTCGCAAAACCTTCAATCCATTTTCCCATGTCTAATTCCGTTTATCTCTAGGGTTCCGCCACTCCGAACTAGATAGAAATACAGCGTTCGAGTCGGCAGGCGGTAACTCGCCATGCGTAATACATGACCCAGCCACCTTAATTCGCAGTAATGGATGGAGTCTTTTAGTGAATTACCGTTTGCTTCACCCAAAACCCGTTTACTCATCACCTCATTTAGAATTCTTTGGTTCGATCCCACTCTAGCTACGGTTGAGACGTCGGTACTGAAAATCTCAAGATTCCTCAGATCCTCTGCCAGAATCGGCGAAGTCTCGCAGTCGTACAACAATTCAGTCCGCATTGTAGTGTGATAGGTGCGTCCTCTGAGACCCAGTACTCATCATCATTGTCAGCTGTAATAACCGCATACTCGTCGTACTGTGGTTGTAGCTGCCGCAGTTTCGTTTAGCGATGGTTTGGGGGGGGGGGTAGGTAGCTGCACGTTGCAGGCGGGACCTGATAAATTGGGGCAAAGATCCAGCACTGTCAGTGGGCTGTCAAGTGGTGAGGGGGTTGGAAAAGGAGCTATGCATTGAAGGCAATAGCTTGGATGCACGAGTGCCATTATCTGGCAATTAGCCATTGATGTGGCCCGTCTCGAGGTCCCCATCCAGGAAGACGGCAATGACCAGCGCAGCTAAGTTTGCTGGTAATGGAATGGCTACCTCGCTGCCAAGTCATTGTTTGACCGCCTCTGACACACTTCCACCCTTCACGTGGTTGTCCGAAAAGAGCCCTTCGAGGAAGTCGGTCGACTGGCATACGCAACACGTGGCCAAGCCAGCGCAACCTATGAAGAGTGATCAGTTCATCTATCGAGGGTGAGTTATTTCTCCCGAATACCATTCGACGTACTTCAGAATTGCTGATCCGGTGTTCCCACCAGATTCGGGCAATGCTCCGAAGACATCGATGGTCAAACACTGAAAGTCTTTTGACGTCCTCGGCGCGCAGCGGCCA